TTAACATTTATCAAAAACTTCCTGAGCGAGCCCTGTCAGATATGCTGGTCACTCCTCCTTGGGTCTCTAGTTGGAGAAGGATTTTCCAGATGAAGTATGTTGAAGATAATGGAGATTTACATACATAGGCAAGACCAACACAGCCACATTTTGATCTTGTCCTCCCAACCGAAGCTCGATCTCCAGGGCAGCAAGCAAGCTTTTATTTTTCTCTGCTGCCCCTTATTACCAGAAAGGGCCTAAGGTCCCTATTAGGCCCCAGCAAATCCTGACCTGATAACCTCCTCCCATTCCCTACACCAAGATATAATTGCCCCGAGGGGACTAAAGTGAACTCATCAACATCTCGTATGCAGCTGGCCATTCTACCCAAAGTGGCGCCCTGAGCTTAGCTTGAGAAGAGTCCAGATTCAGCTAAGGGAATGGTGGGTTCACATCCCAGCCTGATCTTTGACATCCATCCCAGGGACTCTGTAGGAAAGAGCACAGGCTGTCTGACAGGGTGTGGACCGAGGAAAGTCCCACAAATGCAGTGCTGAGCACAAGGTTGACTCAGGAAGCAGAGCAGAGATTTGTCCTGAGTCTCTCTGACCTACGATCCACCCTTTAATTTTCTCTTTTAATTCAAGAAAATAAGAGCTAATATTCATAAATATACATATTGATCGATAGAAGGAAATAGCACATCAATAATGCCGCTAATGCAGATTTATTTTTAAATGTTAGACAGGAAAGAAGGTGGAGGACTTCACAGAATTACTCTGAGAAGATAGTGGTAGAAAAGGGGGACCCTCTGTTCTCCTGGGGATTGCTATCTGGCATTTATTAAATGAACCACACCAAGCAGCGCTTTGTCATTGCTGTGAGTGCCCCACAAAGGAAGATGCCTGGACAGAGCCAATGAACTTCCTTCGCCTGGGGTTCAGGGCTTCTCTGGGGAGCTGGTGTTTAAGCAAAGAGTTTCTGAAGGCCAGGCTGGGGTTAGTCAGGCAAAGGGGAGAGCAAACAACTTCCCAAGCAGAGTGAACAGCACGCAGGCCCTTGAGCTGGAAGGAAATATGACCTATTTGAGGAGCTGAGGAAGGCACCATGGCTCATGAATAGAGGTCGATGGGGAGCTGCATGAATTGGCAACACCCCCGGTGCAGAACCCATATTCTGCAAGCAGCTTGTGAGATACGGGGACACACTGAGAGCTTTAGGTTTTATCTTCACTGAATAGGAAGCTATTAAAAGATTTTGAGCAGGGAGCTGATCCAGTTTGCATTTGTAAAACATCCCTCTAGCTTCTGGTAGCAAGAGGATGAGGAGCGAAGATGTAGAAGACCAGGCAGAGGGAGCTATAAGAGTCCAGCCGAGAGACGGTGCTGGTTTGGATGAGCACTGGGGGGACCTCATGAGGGGAATGCAACTGACTTAGACGTATCTGGAGGTTGGACTGATAGGACTTGGTGACTGATGGGCCATGGAGATAGTGACAGGCAGAAAGGCGGTGGCGAGACTGGGACCAAGGGTTGTAGTGAAAGTAACCAGTGGACAGAAAGTAACCCCTCAGCCAGAGGGGCCTTTTCTGTGACTGACCGTGCAGGACCATAGCTACAAAAGTAATAATAAGGCAAAGTCCAACAGCCTAACTAGAAATGGAGAAAGGACAGAGAGCATGCAGTTCCCAAAAGAGGAGGTAAAATTACCAAGAAATGTAAAAAAAATACATTTACATTTCAGAGATGTGATTACAATAACAAGGCACCTTTTCTCTATTACATGAGTAGAGAAAAAGTGCATACGAATGCCTAATATTGATGAAAGCAAGAGGAGCTGTTATGTTCATTACTTCTGGTAGAAATTTAGAAATGATACAGTCTTTTGTGGATGGGAGTTATAAATTTTTTAAAATGCTAAGCAATATAGTCCAAATACATACAAGAAGTGATCAAAATAGTGAATGTTTAAATTTTTAAAAAATTTTGTTGCAGTAAAAGGCACACTACCGTTAATTCCCCACATAAATATGCCCTCTCTCTTTGAACCTATTCAACCCATCATTTTTGCCACTTTTTGAAACAATTCAAATCCCCTTTCAGGAATGACTCTAGGAGATCCGATTTTAAAAAATACAGTGAATGTTCCTGCCAAGTGCCCTCCAGCAGAAAGGCAAGCTCGTCCATAAAGCACTGCAGTGTGTCCTTCTGCACTTCACTCACTGCGTGTAGCACTGTGTGACTTCTGGCTGTTTCCCTCAGCCAGAATGTGTTGAATTGATTCAGGACCTCACAGAAACCATGACAGCACAGCTAAGGACCATCTGAAAGAAGACTTCCAGACCCACTTCAGAAAGTGGCAAGAATGATGATGTGTGTTCAAAGCAAGGGGCAGTATTGTGAGTGGCCTTAATGGCAATGTAATAAAATTTTTTAATTTAAGCATACACTATTTTTCAATCACATCTCACAGTCAAACAACCACGCAAGGAATAGATACCAAATATTAAATTCTTGAAAACTTAAGAATCATCTATACATCCATTAGTGGGGGACTAATTATATTATATCTATAGCTATATAACCATTTAAAGCATGCCACTTTACTCAATTAAAAAAATATTAAAAGTAATATGCATATTATAATTCTATTTTGTAAAGTATCTGAATATGTATTATGTGGATATATGGGTTTTCTTATAGAAGGTCTAGAAAAGGAAATATATTTGAAATGATATTGCCAGTGGTGAGTCGCAGTTGTATTTAGTGTATTATAAATAGAAAAATGATAAATATTTTAAAAAAGAAAATGATACCTAACTACAGTATGACGGACTGTACTAAGTCTGCGGGCAATTCTGATTCAGACTGCTGTGAGAAGGATTCAAGCTAGAGGTGTCACTACATCGGGAGCAGGAATCACGGCTCTGTTTTCCCGTTCCTGCCTAGCTTTGTAGTTCATGTTCCGTGGGGAAATGAAGGGCTATATGTGAAGGAGGTCTAAACCACTTCTACAGGCTGTTTGGCGTGTTTGCTCTCTGGCCATAAAAAATTCGTAGCATTTAATTTTAAACCAGAGGACAGGAAGTGGAAGCCCGGAGTTTTAGAAAGACCACTGTACAACAGCTTCAGTCAGTGTCCAGCATGTCCACTTTGCCACTTTCTTGTTCGTCCCTGACGGGATTTTGTCCTCATTTGCAGGGGCAATGGTGTGCCTGGGTATTATGTTTCCGGCTCTTTCTATTTCCTTGGTTACTATCTTGAATCTTTGAATAAAGAATCACTTTCACTTCACATTTTTCTAAACTTGGTTTTGGAAATTGTGCAGCTCTTTTCCAAAATGCCCTTTTGGGAACTTAAATAGGTACTGATACATTCTACCCACTTGATGGAAAAGCTGACAGTGTAACAGAACAGAATAACCCCACCTTGATTTCAAAATAGAATCTGATTAGTGTCCAGATGCCAAAGAATTGCAGGTTTGGGGTCTGAGGAAAGGCAGGGAGAAAACAGAGCACACAGGGAAAGCACTGGGTTAGAAGGGGCAAGTCCAGGTTCCTCCAGTTACTTCTTTTGTGATCCCAGGCAACTCTTTGATGTGCAATCAAGTGTCAGGTGTTTGTTTTTTCATCTTTGAAATAAGACAGCCTTAGATTCTGAGATCGAAACAGAGTGAGGGTCCTTCAGGCAGCCCCGCCGAAGTGCAGTAAGGGCACAGCTGGGAGTACATGGACCAGCACTTTAAATTTCAAAAGTTGTTTATTTGAATGAGTATTATATCCTCATATATAGATGCAGCATCTCAAACCTGTGGCCTTATAGATATTTGTATGTAGAATGGCCACAAGTACAAACTCCTTCAGCAATTATAAAATCCATCTAATAGTATAAGGTTGCTTTTCTCTAGGCCATGCAAAGAAAAGACAAAAAAAAGCTGCAGAACTGTTTTCAAAAATTCTTTAAAAATGAAGCCAAGAAAAAAAAAATGTGAATAGGTTAGGAAAAATTGAAATAGTAGAAGCAACTCATGGATATAGCAAAAATTGGTACCCAAATTACTGTGGCAGGCCTTTATTGGATCACCAAGCTTTGCTGAACTAGTTTGTCCAGCTGTAAAAATCTCCTGGGATGATTGTGAGGATCGTGAGGTAATATCTGTAGATATTATCAGCTCAGTAGCTGCCTCATAGTAGTGTCTCAGATATTATGAGTTTCCTTTACTTTTCCTCAGCCTCTTCTTTTTAAGTTAATGGGGTATCTGTGATTGGTTGGCCCTCTTTCCTTATTTACTGGATAAAGCAATAGATCCCAGACTGGGAAAAGACGAGAGCAAGGGCTAAAGTTGGCTGTACCTCACTCTACCAAATTCAGCGGTTCTTGACAGAGACCTGTAGACAGATCTGAAAAGTGATCGAGAAACTGACAAATAAAATAAATGAAACTCAAGATGGAGCAGGGCAGGGAGAGAATGAAATATTGTAGCAAGAACTGAAGTCCTGGATACAGCTGAGAATAAGAGAGGGAAAACCATGATCTGCTGAATGCTTTGGAATTTAAGTATCTTACAGCTAGTGGTACCCTGCTCTGAAAAAAATAGTAAAGTCTATATTTAGAAGAAAAAAAAAGACTAGGAAATATCACAAAATTTTCAGAGTGTGTCAAGATCATGGCACTTATCTGTCTGTACTTTTTTCTTTTTACTGTTCTTACCAGCTTTTGTGTATGTTGACATTATGAAAAATAAAATGTGTTAAAATGATTGGAAGATTGCATTTTCTGTCCTGAGAGTTGGACATAATGTCATACATGATTGTCATACACACTTGACACATAACAGTTAATAATCATGCTTGAATTTTTATGGGCACACTTCATTTTCCAAATAGTTCCCTTGCAACCCTGACCATTAACAATTTCCTCAGGGTCATAAATAGTCACCAATATAAGGTATAAAACTGGTGATGCATTTTAGTCCAGAGGACCCAGGAGATTGATTGTGATTGTGTTCTTGTTTTACAGATGGAAACACTGAGAATCAGAGAGGGCTAGCGATCTCTGGGATACTCGATCAGTAGGTAAGTAATGCTGAAAGTGAGCCTGAAACAAGACACACTCCTCAGCCCTATGACCTAACCTGCCAGACTCACTGGCCCCAGTCTTGGGACTTTTCTGTTTTGCACAATTCAAGTAAGTTAAAAAAAAAATGAGCCAGTCGGAGGCATTTGATATTATTTACACTGTGGTTTCTGTTTGTTCCCATCCTTGAGTTGGAATGTTTAACAAATGAGTTTGCAGACAATTTGTAGGCATTGCATGACCTGTCTTAGGTCTCTCTCTGGGCATGGTAGAGCCTATTAAAAACTGGCCCATGCTGCGGCTGGTGTGACACTCATCACTGTCCTTCAATAGACCCAACTCTTTAGTGCTTCTAGAACAAAGAGTACTGAACTGGGGTCAGAGTATTTGGGCTCAGGGCCCACAGTGACCTCTCTGCTCTTTGACTTCAAGTAGGCACTTCACCCAGGGGTTTAGTCATGCTGCATTCTACTTTCAGACTGTTTTCCCCGGAACATTTGATGCTAGGCCCTGTGCTAGGCACTGGGGATGATAAGCTAAATACAGCACAGGCTCTGCCGTTGAGGAGTTCACAGCCCAGTTTATGAGCTCCTCCCCTCTTCATTACCGTCTCATAAGAATTTCTTATATCTGCTTCAGAGTTTGTGGTTTGAAGGGTGTTTTGTGATCTTTCCCGCAACTCTATAACATGGAAAGAAGTGGTTATTGTCATTCGACAGAGGAGAAACGATAGCTCAGAGCTAGCCAGGGTCATCTTGTAATTAAGGATCAGGGCTGGGCTTGAGTTCCAGCTCTGCTAGCTCCAAATCTGCTGTTTCCAAACGCAGTGAACTGTTCCACCTGGTGGTTTTAGCATGTGTGTGGGCATTTTCGAATCCTACCCCTCAGCGGTGAGTGTAATGTTGGCGAGACAGGCATTTGGATGGAGCCTGCACAGATGCAGGATCCCGCCTGGGGCTTCTTCTTGGGTCTAGCTGATTGTTGCAGAAAGCTGTGCCTTTCTCTGCCTGGGAGTAAAAGTAGACATGGGCTCCATGCAAGCTGAAAACCAGAGGGAAACCTGCCAGGGCCAAGGCTGCCTCCTCCAAGTGGCTGGGATTTAGCACATCAGAGAGAATCTGTCATGGGCTGGGGGACACAGCCCCCTTCTTGCGCAGTGACCCTGCTGAAGGCTGCTGCTTCCCACCAAAGCTTAATGATCCTGGACTGTAAAGCAAGCTGGTAGCTTCTGCCTTTGTTGAGCTGCCTTGCCTCAGGCATGGCAGAGTAGAGAGTGATACGGATTAGAGACTGTGCTGTTTGTTTATGTGGAGAACAACTCCTTGCCAATGGAGCTCTTGTGTTCCCTCAAAGTCTGGAATTTCAAAGGGTGCATGAATAACCCCTGGGAGAAGCCCTAGTTGTTCTGTTTTACAGTACGTGCATGTGGTGAGTGGCAGCCACCCTTGATGTACATGTACCAACGCGCGCATGTGTATGCTATCCAGGATGCGCAGGATTTGTGTGGAATGTGATGGGATGTGAGGTTTGTGAAGAATTTCTGAGTGTGCATGCACACGCATGTGTGTAATCCCTGGGAAGCATTTCTTACAAAGAAAGAAAACAGCTACGGTGTAGTTTTTTCAATAGGACCCCGAAATGTGTTTTTAATAAGCCTCATTAAATCCTTTGATGAGAAGGAGGGGCCTGCCATTCCTTGATCCTGACTGGGACACTCAGCTCTCCCCTGCACGCTTATTGGGGGCCAGATAAAGATGCTATTTATATTGATCTTTCTGAGACCCATCCCCCCTCGTGCTCCCTGCAGCCCCTACTCCCACCCCAGCGCTGCATGATCTGTCCATCTGGATGTCCTAGAGGGCAGGCTGGTGTCGGGACTGACAGATGATAGCTGTCGTGCACCTGGAACCTGAGCACCCCGTGTCTCGTGTTGTGCCAGCAGGAAACTTTGCGTCTTTGTTCAGGAGGTACTCTGAGCTGGGAATTCTGGGGCTCCTTCATTTCCCTGGGGGTCATGTAGGGCTGCAGATGCCCAGCAAACCCTTTCCTTCATGGGTTGGGTTTCCCCTTGTCTGACACGAGAGGAGGTGAAGCCCTGTTGAAAGGCAGGTTTCACCTTAGACTGCAAGCTTGATGTCAGGTCTCCAGAGCAGAGCCAGTTCCCAGAGTGATTATCTTTCCTGAGCTGAGAGCCAGGTGCTCTGTGACAGGAAGCAAGGCAGGCTTAGCAACAGACTTATCAGGCTGTGCGACAAGAATGTTCATTCGTGTAAACAGAGGTGGGTTTGTGCAGCTCTGTTCCTCCCTGTGCGCCAACTCGGTTCTGGGGCTGGTGTGTTCCAATTTGCTTGGTTCTATCACAGAGGTAATGCACTCCCTGCGGAGTGGAGTTCTGTCTGTTTTGTTCCTGTTCCTCCCCAGCAGTTCCCAAGCCCTGAGTAGGAGAGAACAGGAGAGACCACCAGTTTCTGGTCTACATGGAAACCACTGGCTCCAGGCGGCCGACTGCCCTGCTGGAGCACCCAAGTCTTGTATAATACACCAGGCTTGCATTTGAGTCCTAGTGTGGCCTTTTATTGAACCGATCTACTTGATGTCTTTACACAGGCTGCTGCAAACCGTTACTGAAGTTGTATCTAGCAAAAGACTGCTTAGTCCAAGATAGGCAGGAAATAAAAACCAGCCTGTGTCCCACAGCCATGCCTATGTTCTCCTGCCCAGGAGAAAAGATGTCTTTCCCAAATTCAGAGAGGCAATAAAGGGACTAGCGGTGGCCCTGTCTCTTTTGGCCTCTGTTTCTTCACGTTTTAGTTAATGGGATGTAGGCGGGATTAACGATAATCTTTAAGCTATACCTGACAGGTACATAATAGCTGTCATTAGCAGTGATAGTAGTAGTAGTAGTAACGATGTCAGTAATGATAATGCATATTTCTGTAGTACTTTAGATTTCTCAAGACTTTTTCACATTTGACTCTTTCAGCAACCCTGCACTTAAGAGCAGGACTAGGATTACACTCTTGATTGGAGATAAGGAAACTGGAACAAAGAGAAATGTGATGTGACTGGTCCTCCGTCAGCGCCCGAAGACCTGGCCTGGAGCCAGCATAAGCCATCCTGGCTATGATGTAGGGATGGGAGATGTAGGCTTGGGAATGCCTGGCTGAGCTCAAAGCACCAGGCTTCTCCTGGCACGTGTCTCTTTCTCCTTATACCCCCATCCCCGTCATCCATCTTGGTCCAGGAGGGCCTGCACTAGTTATTGAGGACATTCTGCCTAGTTCTTGCCAGCTCTATCTGAATGGCAAGACTCTGATCTTTGTGGTTACAATCACTCACTGAAAAATTAACTTCAAACCAGAAGAATCACTGATCATCAATCCTGCCACACCCCACAGGGGAAACTGTTGCCTGTCCTTGGGCCTCCAAAACAGTTCAACAGACAACAACCACTGACGTCAGCCTTCCACACACCCTCTTACGTGCCAATTCAACATTTCTGGCCAATAGACATTTAGTAAGCATGTACTATGTGCAAGGCACTCTGGCAGCATATTACATATTTTTTCAAAGCTACGTCCTTTTTCAAAATGAGGTAAATAAGTGGCAAAGAAGTTAAATAACATGCTCAAGATCACATAATTATTTGGTGATGATGCTGAGATTTGAAACCAGGTATTTAGACTACAAAAGTTATGTATTTGACTTGTATAAGGTATATAGCGATGATTAGGAAAAATGGTTATCATTGATTAGCTGTAGTTTTTTTTTTTTTAAATCATTAGTAAAACACCATGCTGCCTCCTAACTGTTGGTTTTTCTGTGCTCCTCTCCCACAAGACTGGGAGGTTCTAGAAGGTACAAACTGGGAGCCCCTTCCCCTAGCAAAGTATATAGGATTTGTAGCAACTGATTGATAATATTAATACTAAATGATTAAGAATATTAGTAATGAGCAAATCACTATGTGCTGGGTAGTGCTGAGTGCTTTCTGCACACAGTTCTGTGTTGCTTAATCACGGGAGAGGTGCTGAGACCTGTAAAGTTAGACAGTGTCACCACTATGAGCCTCATAATGTGTGCATACATAAGCCTAGACGGGGCGCATCAAATCAGTCACTTGATGTGGCCTCCTCGTCTCTTTTTCTCTTTTCTTTTTCTTTTTCTTTTTTCTTTTTTTTTGTGGGGGGATGGATCTCACTGTACTGCCAAGGCTGGCCTCAAACTCTTGGGTTCAACTGATCCTGCCTCAGCCCAGAGTGCCTGAGATCACAGATATGCCCTTGTGCCTGGCTTACAACGTGGTTCTCAACGCAATCAAGAGATGCAGTGAACACATTATGGGTAAAGCTGCTGCCCGTGTAACATGGCGTACTATTTCTTAGTAAGCAGGAGTACATTTTAAAATCATGATAAAAAGCATAGCATAGGAAGTACACACACCAGTAACACAGTCATTTATTATCATTATCAAGCACTATGCACTATACATAATTATATGTGCTATACTTTTATATGACTGGCAGCATAAAAGATTTGCTTACACTAACATTGCCATAAAAACGTGAGAACTGCATTGAGCTATAATGTGATGATAACTAGGTCACTAAGCAGTAAGAAGTTTTCAGCTCCATTAAGATCTGTTTTCTTCTTCTTCCCCTTTTTATTAGTATATGTTTGCAGTAAATACATAGTAAATATATCCACCGTGGGAAATTGGTATATATACATATGGGACTCCTGCTATATATACTATTGGTAACCAAAACATCCTTAAAGGATGTATGAGTGTATTATTTTGTTTAATTTTCATAGCTACCCTAGAAGATATTATTATCAGCATCATGTTACACTAAAGCAAAAGGCTTGAAGAGTTTCAAGTCACTTTCCCTGGTGGCATACCTGGGAAATGGCACAACTGGGAAGGCAACCAAGACTGGCTGATGTGAGAGTTGGTATTTAATGGATGTCTTGTCTCACTCAGATGCCCTGGGATCCC